ACCCCACTTGTGGCACTTTTGGGGTTTGGGCCAGGAGGAGGGGATTTAAGGGAGAAGGGAAAGGGTGTAACTTTATCATCGATGGGCTTCTCTTTCCGCTAACGTGGGATGGAGGCATATATTTTCATGGGGCACATTTTGAATTCCTTGACAAAAGCAAGCAGCTTCTGGCAACCCTGTGGTTGCACATGCCCTCCCTCCTTCCCAGTCTCAGGCTCCACTCCCCGCTGGTCTCCTCATAGGCAGGCAGCTTTCTCGGGCATTCATTCAGGATGCCTGGGCGCGGGTGCCAGCCACGGGACCCGCCGCGTCCCCCGTGAGCCGGACAGTGGCAGCACACCCCATTCCCACTCCTGCTCCCCTCCATACCTTTTCAAATTTCTGATCTCCGAGGTAGGTGGGCGATAGCGGCTGAGCGTGACCAAGTGGCTTCTGCTCTCTTTCCGTAAGTCTGGCAAGGGTATTCCCAGCACCCTTCTTTGGGAAGATTGAATATGTATCACCACCTCCGGTTCTCAGACCATAGCCAAAAATTCCAAGACACTAGGAAAAGTCTCATGAAATATCCTGGTAGCTTTGATCCCAGGAGGGTAGCCCCTGTGAAGGGCAGTTTCCACCTTCATCCATGGCCTTGGGTATGACTGAAGCACGCCGGCCTGGGAAGGTGGGGATGCATGGGCATTTAGTAACCACACAGGTCCCTTTTCCAAAGTCCCATGGCCCCAGCCTTCTTCTTCAGAGAGGCAGCTTCATAGAAGAAGACATCATTTTAGCCCTTACTGTTCCCAGACGGGAAATTCTAGGAAGGCAGAAATAGTTCTCAAGGAAAACCTAGGTATTCAGGCTGACAGGACCTTAAGTGCTTAAGAAAGTGACGTCTTTCTTAACTTGGGAACCCTGGTTTCCTTCCTGAGGGCTGTTTGTCATTTCCTTCAGCTTAAATAATTTTGAAGCCCATGTCTCCATGGCTCTATGTCCCGTTCCCCAGAAAAAGATATATTAAAGGAGACAGGCAGGATCCCTATTACCAAGGATATTTATTGCCTGCATACAAAATGATACAAATAGGGAACCAGGTATGTACTTGGATGTTGGTTTAACTTGGCTCGTGGTGTCGAGAACAAAAGGCTGGGAGTGAAGAGTTGAAGGCTGTTTTTGGCATTTTCTTTTCTCACATTTGGTGATTCTTTGCCTTTGGTATAATACTGGTGAGTTGCTAAAGGGTTTGATTTCCTTGACACTGCCCCATATTCACCTATTTCTGACTTTGGTGATAATTCCAGTGCCAATCACTGGCTTTCTATATTTATCAGCAGCTGCTTCAGTGATGTGGAAACACTTCTCTCAACAGCTGAAAACATGAAGATAGGGAGTAGGATGCGTTGTTCCCACCAAAGGAGCTCAGCTGGAATGAGCATGGGAGGGGTGAACAATCCAGCCAAATCTTTCTGTCTCCGCACGTTTTTTCCTCTTTCCCCAGAATGTCAGGCTTAAGTGGAGAATATGGTTTTGTCCAGAGAGGAATGACTGGGTAGCCCCTGTGGAATACACCAGAATACTTTACATCAGCTGATGTGGGCCAGGATCCTCTATTCTAGGAGGCGGTCTTTGCTGATTCGCTTGATCTGTGTTTCGAGGGGTGGGGTGCAGAGGCCCCTCACAGCCGCTTCTTCCAGCCCAGGCTTACCCTAAACCTCACGTCCATCCAAGGAAGACCTTGAATAGCTATGCCAACCACTCTGAGCCCAACTGTTTTCCGGTGTAGACTTGAAAAGCCATTTCTAAAGTTTATTTTCTACTTAAAAAAAATGTTATCAACTAGCATCTTCCTTATTATTGTAAATCTTTACTGCCACCTAGTGGTCATGCTCTAATCAGAATAATAGAGAAAAACTTGAGTTCCTATTTGTATTAAAATCTGTTCATTCATCCCATGTACACACTGGGTTCCTAACCTTTACAAAGTGTGTGTATAAACATATGTTATTGCCTTCCATTTTATCTTTACAGTAAACTACTAGGTGTAAGATCCCCTTTATGAGATTTTTGGTGAGATCCTTGGATACATATAAACCCCAGCTTTAAAAAAATAGATGTAAATACTTTATGAGTATATGATACTCAGCTTACAGTGGGCTATATGTAAAGAAATTCTAATCTATAATATTTATAACATATATATTAGGTATGTTTTTAACTTTATTAATATTTATTTACTCATTTATTTACATTCTAATGGCAAAAATATTAACACAGAGGATGTGAAGTAAAAAGTGGAGTCCTCCTTCACAGAGGGAGGTGTCTTAAGAGTTCTTTTTTCTTTTTCTTATCCTCACCCAAGGGCATTATTTCATTGCTTTTAGAGAGAGAAAGAGAAACATTGATAGGTTTCCTCCTGTAAGCCCAAACCAAGGATCAAAGGCACCCAGACCAGGGATCAAACCTGCAACCTAGGCATGTGCCCTGACTGGGAATTGAACCCACAGTCTTTCAGTTATGGGACGATGCTCCAACCAACGAGCCACACGAGCCATACTTTTCTTTCCTACTGTTTTTCTATTAATGAGCTTATGTTATGCATATTGTTCTACAGCTAGTTTATTCTATTTTTGACATCTTTTCATGTCCACAAACAAATCTACCTTGTTCTTTTTAACAGAACATAGTATTCCATTATTTACTATACTATAACTAATTTCACTAGCCCCTCATTAAGGCCCATCGAGGCTATTTTCAGTTTTGTTACAAAAATGCTTTGGGCAATGCATATGTATTCTTCAGAGAATGCACACACACATACACATACACATACTTTTGCAAGTTTATTTGAAGAATAAAATCTTAGACATGAAGATTTTTAACTGGGTCTAAACCCATGTTAATAGCCACTGACCAGAGATCACCAGAAACCATCTGCAGTCAAAAAAAATTAAAAATCAGGGTTTCTTAAGCAAGGCAGGCAACCGGAGGAATTGTGGGCCACCCCGGGTGGTGTCTGGAGGAGCTGCTGTCGACTGGGGCTCGGGCTGGGTGATGGTAGGGAGGGCTCCGGGTGGCGGGAGCAGTCCTGGTTTGGGTGTTGTCCAGAAGCAGGAGCAGGTCAGTTTTTCTAGGAGGAGAGGGTTAAAGGGGGTTAGAAGTGTCATTAGTAAATGAGCAGCCATCACGGAGGTGGGCAGAAGACCACATTTTATGTACCCATTGGCCTGGTGTGGACATTGCTTTATTCCATAAGAGCTTTCTATGATCAGCAGGGGACAACAGTGCTTTCTCTGGTACATCAGTTTTAAATGCTTGTAGGTGTTTAAGTTGCTTTTCAAAAGGCTGCACTGCCATGACTGGTGTGGCTCAGTGGGTTGGGCATCATCCCGCAAACCGAAAGGTAGCTGGTTCAATTCCCGGTCGGAGCACATGGCTGGGTTGCGGTTGCAGTCCAGGTCCCAGCCGATCAGTATTTCTCTCACATGTCGATGTTTCTCTCCCTCTCTTTCTCCCTCCTTTCCTCTCTCTCTCTCTCAAAATAAATAAATAAAATATTAAAGAAAAACAAAAGCTGCACCAATTAACGTTCTTCTGGGTTCTTTTAAAGACTCAATTTCCCTAAACAATTTAATAATCAGAATAACACTGAAAACAATAGTAATAGCAAATGTTTGTAGAGCCACTTTGTACATGCCAGCCAGCCACTATGCTGAATCCATTAGTTCAGGGGTCCCCAGTCCCCAGGCCATGGATTGGTCCTGGTCCGTGGCCTGTTAGGAACTGGGCCACATGGCAGGAGGTGAGCACCAGGTGAGCGAGCAAAGCTTCATCTGTATTTACAGCCACTCCGCATCACTTGCCTTACTGCCTGAGCTCTGCCTCCTGTCAGATCAGCCCCAGCATTAGATTCTCATAGCAGCGCAGACCCCACTGTGGACTGTGCATGCAAGGGAACTAGGGTACACTCCTTATAAGTGTCCACTGCTGACGATCTGAGGTGGCGCTGAGGCAGTGATGGTAGCACTAGGAAGCAGCTGCAAACACAGATCACCATGAGCCGAGAGGTTTGACTGCCCAGAGACCATAATAAATCAACTGCTTGCAGACTCATATCAAAACCCGCTCAGTGAATGGCAAGTGACAATTAAGCTGCATCCAGCGGTAGGCTATAAAGCCATATCTACCCCCCAACCATGTCCTTGGAAAAATTGTCTTCCATGAAACCAGTCCCTGGTGCCAAAAAGGTTGGGGGCCTCTGCATTAGTTCACTGAATCCTCATCAGAGACATGAGGAAAAGCACTAATAACATCTGGGCTTCCACAGGAGGACACTGAGGCTTAGAAAGCAGGAGCACCAGCCTGGATCACGTGACTAGGCAACAGGGTGCTGCGCCGGACTCAGAGCCAGCTGCGTCCAGGGCCCACGCCCTTCACCGTGAAGAAGCCTGTCTCCTTTATCTGCCCCACGGGCATCCACCAAGGAGAATTTAAAGCTAAAGCGTGAAGAACCATTTAATTGATGATGACACATCTCAGAAGGTCTGGTTTAGGGTGATAAGGAAGAAGAGTCCTGTTTACAAGGATGAGAGTTGTGAGCCGCGTCCCAGGGACCCCTGTGTGGTATCAAGCCAGACATCCAGCTTGAGGGGCCTCACTGCTCCCGTGTCCTCAATGAATAAAGGCCCAGGAGAGCTCTCTGAAAGTCACGGCCAAGACGTTGTAATGAAATATGTTCCGGGCCAGCTGGAGCTCACAGGGTGTTGAAGTGACTTCCAAGGAAATAAATGGATGAAGGACCGCCATTCCCCCATCAACTATGGTCCAGGAAGTGTCCCTGCCCTGTGAGGATGGGGCCTGTGGGGACAGACTCTCCGAAGGGAGAGGAAGCTGGATGGAATGGCGCTTAAGTAAATATTTGCTGAGCGTGAGAAGGGGCACACAGGGGCTCCGAGGTGGCCTGAGGGCTTGCATTTAGCAAAACAAATAGGGAGTAACTGCTGGCTGCTGCTTTTTTCCAGATTGCGCTGGCTGCGGAAGAGATATCAAAAACGGGCAGGCGCTGCTGGCGCTGGAAAAGCAGTGGCACTTGGGGTGCTTTAAATGCAAATCCTGCGGGAAGGTCCTCACCGGGGAGTACATCAGCAAGTAAGTGAGGCGGGCTCCTGGAGGGCCCCTCTAGTTCCTGTTCTGGGGACCCCACTCTAACCTACCAGACATAACGAAATTCATTCACACCCCACAATCAATAGCAGCTCTTGGCTATAAAACTTGTGCAAACATTTATTCTTCTGCATTTGCCCTAGTTTCCCTACTATAACTGTAATGAGATGTTAATCATTGCTTAATTTAACAATTAAAAAAGCTGATGTAATATGTTGTAACCAATGGAGCATTCAGCAATTTTACCTCCACTAAATTTTTCCCCCTGTGTGGCACGAGCAAACGTTTGTTCCCCTTCCAGGTCTTGCCTATATTTTTAGACCACCCCCCAAACCAAAAATAAAAAAAAAAATACACGGGGTCTAGGCACTGGGCCCATTAGGACCCATAAACAAAATAGCTCACCAGGGAATGGTTTTGTGTTAGAGTCAGACGCTGGTGTGGATGATAGCTAGCGGAGATGAAGCGTGTTTTTGTTGTGTTGTGTTTTGTTTCTCCTGCAGCCTGGAGAAGCTCATTCGATGGTTACCCTCTGAGTTAAGGAAGAAGGAATGAGCATGGGGTTGGGGTGGGAGGAGAACGGCCATGAGGGGGAAATTTCCCTTATACGCTTTTTTATGCTTGAAAAACCAGAACATGTCCTCCAACAAGCTACGTGTCAGCTATTCGAAACGAAATGAAAGGAATTTAACTTACGCATATGGCTAGTTTGGGCCCCACCTTCCAAAAGTCTACTTCTGTAGGTCTGGGGTGAAGCTGACGCACGGCCGAAGTCAGAGGAGCAGACTGCTCAGCCTGAAACTCACCCTGAAGGCTAGGATGGTGCTTTTTCGCTGTTCCAGCCATCACACGCAGTGACATTTTCACCGTGCGCTGAGGCAGGGAGGATGCGGGAGGCTGGACCGGAAGGCTGGGCCCCAGGTCTCCTGAAGGCTGAGGCTCTGGTGCTGCGGGAGCACAAGGCAGTTCGGGAACGGGGGAGGCGGCGTCAGGGCCTCCCCAGGGAAACGGGAACGCTGACACCACATCTGAAGCCCACCTGGCCCGGTGGCGGACGAGGACAACACCTGGTTTTTGTTAGTGAGGCCTCAGCCAATGGAGGAGTCGGCCCTGGCCATCCTTCGGCGATGTGGCCGTGACTTCTGTGTGGCCCGGAGAGCCACAGCGCTGTCTCAGCGTCTTTTAGTTTCCTGGGTTTTGCTCACGTCTGGCCCTATTTCCAGGCACGTGGGTGCCGGGTGGGAGAGAAATCTGTCCACTAGCACCTGTAAAAAGGGCTGGGAGACATGGGTTTCTGTGAGGTCCCCACCCCGGGCCTCCTCTCGGGCGCTGAACATGCTTTCATCTTGCAGGGATGGCGCTCCATACTGCGAGAAGGACTACCAGGGGCTCTTTGGGGTGAAGTGTGAAGCCTGTCACCAGTTTATCACAGGCAAAGTCTTGGAGGTAAGTGACAGCCGGGCTCCCCTCAAAGCCGCCGTCGTTTTCCTCAGAGGCCCTCAGAGACGCGAGAGTCTCTCTTTCCACGTGTTTCTCACTTACGGCGCAAAGAAAGCAGCTGCAGATGACCGATGTCTTAGAGAATTAACGCATTGTACTGTCTTCTCAGGCAGTTTCTGCAGAAGGTTCATGTGGAAGTTAGAATGTTGGAGAGTTTGAAGGGAAAAGAAAGAATGATAAAGGGACTATTAGAAGTTAGGTGGAAGGGAGGGTTATATTAGACTATATTTATTTTTAGAAGTTAAAACAGAGGAAATGAAGAGAATGTTAGAACTGTATCTTCATGTGTGTGCACGTGTATATGTGCATGTGCTGGAGGGCACATGCATGTGTATATGGGGGTGTGTGCATGACATGTGTGCCCCTGCATGATGACCTGCACATGTGGGCATGTGCAGTCTCAGGGAGCAGAGGCCCAGCGCTAAAGCTGAGAAAAGAAAGGGTGGATGCCAGATGAAGGCGGAGACTCCCCCGCCCTGAGAAATCCACCTCCTGTGTGGCCCAGAACACCCTGTGGCCCAGGCTGACCTGACGCCAGGCAAGTTCAGGTGTGACTGGCTCGGGCCGGTGAGCTCAGTTCCTGCTTTCTCAGCAGTGGCCCCACCTGCTTCTGCCTCTGGGCTGGGCTGAGTTTCCCCTGAGCTCAAGGCCATTTGTGGAATTGTTGGACCAGGATTCGGGGTTCTGAGTCACTGCCTCACTTCTCCCAGGCCCCTGTGGTGTTAGCCCATGCTGATGGGAAAGGTAAAGATGGCCCCAGAGCCGGCCTGCCTTTCGGGGTGGAGAATGTGTCCTGAGCAGAGAGGAGGCAGGACGCCAGCAGTTGGGAAGGTGACTGACTGGTCCTGCGGGTTGCCACATCTCTGGGGCAGACACCGTGGCTCCGAACCCACATAGCCACATCGGCACTTTCCTGCAAGGCATGTTTCAGAGATATGGGACAGAAACCCAAGAGGCCCCCAAGGTGTCTCTGGGCAGGTCCTGGGGAACTTCGCAGCAAGGTGCAGCGTAGCCTTCCTTGTCCCACAGCAAGCTTGGAGATGCCTTCTGTCCGTAAAATGCAGAGGGGCCAGCACTGGCGCTGGGCTGGGAGCTAGCACAGCAACTTGGACTGACCTGGCAGACAAGGGTCGTCAATACAGATGCCCCTCACCCAGGGGGAGGGCGTCCCAGGAAGAGGGAGCAGCCTCTGCAGAGGCTCAGCCGTGAAGACAAACGAGCACAGCACATGCAAGAAACAAAAAGTCAGGTGGGGAGGTGAACAGCTGTGAGAGATGCTGCCGAGGAGCAGAGAGGGGCAGTGTGAGCACCTTGGTCACTTCCGGGAATGCGGGCTTTATCCTAGGAGGGATGGGGAGCCACTGAAGCGATGTAGCTGGAGCGTCATGTGATGGGCTCAGATTTTTGTATGCAGAATGGATGGGCATGGGCACATACAAGCACATCCATGTTCAGAGCAGATCTGTTCACAGCAGCCAGGCGGAAACAACCCAGATGTCCGTGGATGAACGGATGAACAAAATGTCGCATCAGATAGACAAACTAAAATCTTAAGATCACATGGATGGATCTTAAAAACATGCCAAGTGGGTGACGCCAGTCACAATAGGCCTCATACTATACAATCCCAATTAGAGGAAAGATAAACCTGTAGAGATGGGAAGCCGATGGGTGGTCGCCTGGGGGCGGGGGAGGGGACCCGGGGAGTCATTGCTTATTGATACCCAATTGAGGTGCTCAAAGTGTTTTGGAACTAGATGGAGGTGGTGGATGCACAGGTTGTGAATGTCCTAACTTCCATAAATGGTTCACTTTAAAATGGGTAATGTTATGTTACATGAATTTTTCCCCTAATTATTTTTAGTGGATGGAAAAGGGATGAGAGCGGTAACGGGAGGCCAGTTAGGAGACGAGCGCAGAGCTCTGGCCACGAACAGTGGTGGCGCTGGCCGCCGCGAAACCCGGGAAGAGGGCCCAAAGCCTTCACACCCACCACCGCGGCAGGGGGGGAGTTCTGGGGACCTTCCAGTAAAGCTTCATTGTCAGCCCGGGTGTACATCGCAGCCGGGCTTTTGGCCCAGGAACGCTGTTGGAGAAAATGAATGTTACTCAAACAAAGGGCAGCTGGAAGTCCAGCGGTCATATCACAAGACTCAAGGTACAGTGGCGGGGGCTCCCCGGCCCACCCCCTGAATGAGCCTCTGTTCCTCCACGGAGCCTCCAGACGGTCCTCTCAAGCAGGAGCCCGGCGGCCCAATAGCATTCCCAAGTTTGATCTGCCACCTAGGACTGAAATTAACCTGTTGAGTCAGACGCCGTTGGGAAATTTCATTTTAACACAATAGCAAGAAACCATCAGAACCCTTTCCCAGATGTCTGGCTGTAGGGAGAGAGGCAGGAAGGTATTAGACACAGCCCCCAGGCTGGAGACAGCCATGTCATGTCTACAGGAGGTGTGGAGCGAAACAGCTGTCTCCTGGGTCCACATATGGAACCGTGTTACCCAAAATGAGCTGGAGAAGCAAAGGGCTGGGGCGGGAGGGCGAGGGGGGCGAGGGGGGTCGTTGATTACCTTCAGATTTAGCTCAAAAACTTTGGGAAGGAATATCTAAAATGAAACTAGATCCAAGATTATGCCATTTTGAAGAAACATCTGCTTACTTTGGGAGGCCCACGTGTTTCCGCGCTTTCCGCGCCTGCCGGGGCCCCTCTCCAGACTGGCTTCCGGTCTCTCTGAGGGCCACCTGTAAGAGCGAAGGCCTGGACGCCTTCCGCAGGCCGCCTTCAGAGCCGGGGCTGCGAGGGCTAGGGTGCTGCGGGGTTCCGGGCAGGCTGACGTTCCGCCCAGTGGGCGCGCTGCCCTCCCCAGACGGGCGTGTGATTTAGAAGAACGCCCTGCACGGCAGGCACACAGACCGGTGGTTACAGCTTGTGGGCCAGTTTGGCCTGGTTGCCAGGAAAGCCAGGACTGGTGACAGAGTGGCCTCTCCTCCCCCTGCCTTTTATTCTCTGACCCTGTGGTCAGTAAGACATTGTAATTGTGGATTTATTGTAAACACTGTAATTCTTCCTTTTTGGTTTTCCCACCAAATTTTGTTATTGTGGTAAAAGACACATAATGTAAGATTTACCATTTTAAGTGTACAGTTCAGCGTTTTAAATGCATTCAGAATGCTGGACGTCCATCACCGCCGTCCACCTCCACGGACTTCCACACCTTGTAAAGATGAAACCTGATAGTCATGGCCCATTCATTCCCCTCCCCCCTCCGCCCTGCCAATGGCCATTCTGCTTCTGTCTATGGAGCTGACTACTCTAAGTATTTTATATGAGGGGAAACATATGGTATTTGTTTTTGATGGGTGTGTGTGGAGGGGGGGTGGTTAGATTATTTCACTATGTCTTTAAAGTTTATCCACGTTGTAGTACTTGTCAGCATTGCCTTCCTTTTTCTAAGGCTGAATTTCTTCCATTGCATGGATAGACCACATTGTGTTCATCCATTCTGTGATCCTTAGAGTATTTTTTTTTTCCTGATTGATTTTTCCATAGAAATTGTAAATGTGTTACTTTCCTGAGTCTGCTCTAACAGGGGATGCTTAAAACAGCAGAAACTGATCCTTGCACGTTCTGGAGGCCAGAAGTACAAAACCAAGGTGTTGGTGGGCCACGCTCCCTCCAAAGGCTCCAGGGGAGAACCTTTCCTTTCCTCTTCCAGCTTCTGGCGGCCTTGGCTGTATAACCCCATTCTCTGGAGACACTTGTCATTGGATTTAAGTCCCACCCAGGTCTTCCAGGATGAGCTGCTCACAATCCTTAACTTAATTACACCTGCAAGGACCCTTTTCCCAAACATCCACAGGTCTTAAAGATGTGCTGTGGATATATCTTTCGGGGGCCACCATTCAACCCATGCCAGTAAACCTGGTAACTTATATAAGCCCAGTGAGGCCTGGGGCTATGGTGTGGGTTTAATTGAACGCTCTCTGAGCATCAGAGGTGCCCTGGGGCCACTTTTCTGGGTGTGGTTTCACCTGAGATGCTGCTGGGCACCTGAGGGAGCTTTGAGAGGAGAAAGGTCCCTGGCCGATGATCAGAAAGCTCCAGGCTTAGCTGTGTCACTAATTCCTGAGCATTTTGGACAGGCCGTTCAACCTCTTTGAGATGATCTTCATTTCACAGGTAAAGGGAATGGCATGGGACCTGTGAGACCCTACCCTGATCTAAAATTCTATTTCCCTCTGCTATTCCCTTAGAGTCATAACCCCTACCCATCCCATCGGCTTGAAGGGATGGGGAGGGGAGCCTTGGTGTGTTTTAGTGGAAAGGGCTCCAGGCCATAGAGGATCAGAGATGTACTCTTGACTCTGGAGTGCACAGCTGTGTGACCTTGGGTGACCCTCTCAACTTCTCTGAGCCTCAGTTTTTCCTTAAATACAACCACTAAAAATATATGTGTAAATCCGAGCCATGGACCACTTGACTCTTCAAGCCTCTTTGACCCTGAGGATCTGAGTTCGGTAATTCTCGCATGTTGGAGAACCTAAGGGATCAGAGCCAGCAGTTCTCTGTCAAGACATTTTCTGGAAACTGGTGTGTACCACTCAGCGTATAGCATACACTCAAATCGAAGGTTTATTTATCATTAACTTGCTTTCAGTTTTGCTTTTGACAACAAGTTTCTCTTTTTAGAGCAATCTTACTATAAATGGCACATTTTAAAAAGCTTATGCTAATTAACTTAAAAATTCAGGAGTATTCTGAAGATGTTTACAGCCTGCCTCCTAATTAAGAAGTCCAGAGGCAGATTAGTGTGCGACCCTGGAGTTTGCTGAGAGCCTTCTAGCTCCAGCTCCACCTCTACACTCTCCTCTGAAGCAGCCTTCCTCCTCCCTTACTCTGCGCCTCCTCTCCGCCTGCTGCTTCAACAGCCTATTGGCACAGGA